AACGGACAGAGCCTGTGAAACTAATTCATTTAATATCTCTCTCTCGTGCATCACACGGGGTACGTACTAGTAAGTGCAAATAAAAGAGACCCTTTAATTGGTTACTTATAATAAGAACACAATCAAAAGATTTGAAAATAAACCATACAATGGACAGAACGGGCTAACAAGAAAAATTGGTATTGTTAGAGGTTGATATTTATGCAAAGTAAAGAAAAGAAACCATACATATGCTATTAAGAAAAGAAACATTAAGCAAATTAATAGAAGTTGAGTCATATCTAAACGAGCATGCCAATAGAGGAAGCGAAATTGAAAGATGCACCCAACTCTAGATGCACTTTGTATTGATTGTCAAAAAAATTAGAATTCAGAGATGACACTTGAAGTTCAATAAAATATCAGGAAAAAAAAAAAACAAACACAAAAAAGAAGCAATCAGGTAGAGTCTTATGACGTTAGGGTCCTTCTCGTTGCCGTGTGTGCCGGTTACCTTGCCCTCTCTCGTGGGGTATTCCTTCCGGGCTCGGGTTTGAGTGGTGAAGGTGCGGTGCTATTAACCTGCTGTGGAGGAGGGCTTTAGTGTAGTCTAATATTAGGTGTGTTTTATTTGTGGTGTTCTTGTTTTGTGTGTCTTCTTTGTGGTGTTTTTTTGTGTTGTAGTGTTGGTTTAGGTTCTCCCGTTGGGAGTGTTGTTCTGCACTTGTGGGAGTTCTGTTCTCCACTTGTGGGAGTTTTGTTCTCCCGTGTGGGAGGTTTATATTTTATTTGTTTCTTGTGGTTGAGTTGTGGTATTAGGCTCCCTTTGGGATTTCCTCTCACTTCGGCCATTTTGTCGTCGACTTCGGCTGCTTTGGTCGATCTTTGTGTTGTATTTATGTGTTATTAATGAAATTCTATCGTTGGACAAAAAAAAAGGATGTAGTTTATTGTCTTATTTTTAGTTACAGTATACATGAAGTAATAAAATAAAATTATTTAATTACTTTTAGTTACAGTACAAATGCTAGAAATAAAATAAAAATTTGTAGACTGCTGAAAAGGAATAATGGCTTCAAAATGATGTATCATGGCTCTCTTGGATCATCAATCCTATGAATTTCGTTAAAACATCATATACATGGACATAGTGGAAACTTAAATGAAGAATACCCAAGCTACATAAATAAACATTCCATGCATTCATCATATATGTTGAGAGCTGCCTATTCAAATCAAAATTCTCATGGTAAGATGTGCTCTAATGATGGGTATATATCTTAAGTGTAAGGAAAATGAAGTGCATTCAAACCAAAGTGCCAAAGTAATGACGTACGATAAACAATAAACAATAAGTTCTAAATAATCCAAAGTAATGTTCCTCTAAAATAACCAATCATACATAAAAACACCAAATAGGTTCAAAAGTTACCACCACGCCGTCCCCGAGTCCCGACGCCAATTCCTCAACCTGAAATGATTAAATAAGGGTTGACACGGAACGACTCAGTGGGAAACATACTATGAAATTATTCAAGTTAATAGAAAATATCACAATCATCATGTGCACGTAATAAATAACTTGCCCGAAGGCCTAACATCACCTTTTGCCCGAAGGCCTGAATATTTGCCCGAAGGCGACGGGTAATAGCTGTGACTAAATCAATGCAAGTCACCAAGTCAACCTCCTATTTCCTTCTCAAACAAGTTGTTAGGTGATTTTCCTATTCCTAACAAATCTAATAATAAAAACCAAATACAAATAGAATCCATGGATTTTAAATTCATAAATCAATTATTACGAATGCTTTCAGATCTCTTATTTTGTGTTTATAAATCAAGGCTTCATCCATTCAAAATTTAGGCCGGTATCTCATTGAAACTCATAATTTTCTTGAAATTGTATGAGACTTTACACTAAGTGCACATGTAAGAATAATAACTTGCAGATATAAACCAAAATAAAATTATTAACCAAACAACATAGCAGCTAGAGAAGCTAGAGAAATTGAATGTGAAGAAAAAAATTATTCATCTTAAGGTATAATATTTTGTAATAAGCTTAAAAGAGCTAATTCAAAATCATCTCAACCATTTAGCTTATTATAATGCTCTCATTTATGTTTAGAAAAAAGTTAGCACCTAACGTGGGAGTAATCGGAAAACTGTCAAGTTATATGTTATATGAGCTAATATTGTTGGCTCTTCCTGTTTTTTTTTTCTATCTCCAGAATATGGTGCCTCTCATAACCAAAAAACAATAGCTACGTGTTTGGATGCATGCATTTTGTCCTATGAAAAAGTGTTTTATTTTTCTTTTTGAGAAAATTTCATGAAACACAACTTGTTGATAATAATGAGAATTTTAAATTTTAATCTTTTGAAAAGGAGCTGAAGATAAATTATTCCTACATTTTGAAATTCTGTTATTTCTGAAAATATGGGTAACCTTGAAGTTATAAAGTATGAGCTGAAGACACACACTGGAAAATATAATCTAAAGTATCTGGCCATACACAGCACGACCAGGCTCACTATTGACTTGTGGAGTTAATTACCATATCAGATTTAGAAGTTGAGTTAATGTGTAAAAATAGAATAAGTGCATGTTCACAAATCTTAATAGGGCTAGCAGCTACATAATTTTACCTTAAAGTAAAAGATCAGAACACCTTTGTAAGTTAATGTCATTGTCTATCCCAACCATCTATTTTCATTTAAAATAAAGCCACAATTCTCGACAATTGATTATTTAAAATCGTATTTTAAAATAAAAGAATAGGAAAAAAAAATATATCCCTTTACCTTACAATATAAGACTAAAAGCAGGAGGATGTCACAATTTTGGTTTGATCGGATCACATAAACAACGAGAAAGTGAAAGAGAATTAGCACAAGCAACATAACAATATGAATATCACTTAAGAAAAAAATTAACATCCAAACACTTTAACAGAAACATTAGAGTGGGCGAATTTCACAATTTAAGGACGGTCGGTTGTTGTCCGGTGGTGATTCTTGTAGAAGGACGGTCGGTCCTTGTTGCTTTAGGTCTAGTTAGCCATAGCCTTTTGTGTTTAGGAGTTTGGAGTTTCTAGATCTAGGGTTGGGGATTGATTTTGTTGTTCTTGGGATTATCGTCGGTTGTCGATTCCGTTGAGGAGGTTAGGATTTGTGGTTGGTAGTGAGGAGGGCTTTATTTTAGTTTGTATATTAGGTGTGTGTTGTTTTTTTATTTTATCTTTTTATTTTTGTTGGTTTGTTAGTGCAGCTTTGTCTGCTCTCAGTGCAGCTTCGTCTGCTTTCAGTGCAGCTGTGTCTGCTTTTGGAGTTTTGTTTTGTGGTTGTTTGCCTCCTTGATGGAGTTTGTATCCCTTGCGTGTGATGACAAGGGAGTTGGTCCAGTTTTCTGGTTCCAGTGTGTCATTTGACACTTCGGTTGTACTCTTTTGAGTTTTTAAGTTATTAATATAATTGACGTTGGAAAAAAAAAAAGAATTTCACAATTTAAGGCAAAAAAGAAACTATGATGAGCATAATAGTATTGCAATACAAATATCATAAAAAAAAACTCATAAAAAAATCCAAACGAACCTGCATGCGACAGAGCATGCGATAGAAATAGATGCAAGCATAATTTCAAAGTTCAAAGTTGTAATACATGCAAAATCACAGTATTTTCATTTTCAAAGCGATCAGTAAAAGTGGTGAAGCCGATTGCTTTTGCTGCGTGAAAAAAGTAATCACTAAAATTAGATCTTTGTCTTTGTAGGATCGTCAATATTGTACTGGGGCATCTTTAGGGTGAGTTTGGTTATTTTGAGTGATTGAGTTTGATTAATTCCCATAAAAGAAATCAAGTGATACTTTTGATAAAAAATGTCTATTAACTCGTTTGGTTACTAAGTCATAAATATAGTCTTTATGCTAAAATTCTTTTTTCACCCTTTAGGTGAAATTAAATTTCCCAATGTTGCCACTGCGTAAAAAATAATAATAATAATAATAAAATAAAAAATTACCTTGTTAAAGAAGTACGCTTTGCCGAGGCCGTAGAATTTTTTTGACATTTTTTCGAATTTTTTTCGGTGCTCGAATCGCTCGTTGAATGTTCGAACATTTAGAGAGATAGAGAGAGAAAAAGGGTTAAGGGCAAAAGAGTAAAAGAAGGGGGGCAGTGTTAGTAATAGGAGGCGGTGAATAGTAAATGAGTTTTAATTACGTGTGACACGTGTCACACAGGTAATCACTTACTTTTTATATATACTAGTGGTCTACCGGTTGTGCACACAGCCGACCTATATTCAGTCGTTAAATTTAGTCTTTATTTAAATTATCATTTTCATTGTTTTGAAATTGTTGAAATGAAGCTGAGTATTTTTATAATGGATGGTCACTTGTCCAGATGAATAAATAATTTTTAGTGAAACGTAATGTATGGTCCAAAGAGCAACATTTTTTACTGTTGTGTATGTATTTACTTTTGCATTATGTAATTGTGCAAAAACGGGTAAACTTGCATATCCTTTGCCTTAAGGATATTGGCATTTGAGATGACTATTTCTATATTGTTGTAATGGTGTTGTTATTTTACCTTTGTGTTATGTATCTCATTTGGTAAATAGTTTTTAGTNCATATCCAAGAATAATACATATCCAACATACCCAAGAATAATACTCTACATGTGAACAAACACCAAAATAAATTAAGGCCTTATTAGCCCTAATTTTGTATGTCTTGTTTCCAAAGTCAAATCCCATCATCAAACAGTCGAAAAAGGCAGGATATTAGTTAGTAGTACTAGACATGGCCAAAGAGTCGCCCGGCCCGCCAAACCCGGCCCTGACCCGGCCCAATCAAACGCATTGACTACGGGTCCAGGACCGGCCCGGATTTCAGAAGGGCCGTGTAAGGGTCATTCGTTTCATGACTCAACCCGGAGGGTCAGGGCCGGGCCGGGTCGATGACCCTTCTTTTCAATTTTTTTATTATTTTTTTATACTCTTTTTTAGAAAAAGCACGGACCCGGCACGGCTCGGACACGGACCCGGCACGAGTATAGGTCCGTGCCGGTTCAGGGTTAGTGTTTTCAAGCCCAGCGACCCGTCGACCCGGCCCGAATTTTGGCCATGTCTAAGTAGTACCTTGCAAATACAAACATAAATATAAACTCATGATAAAAAATTGTCTTCTCATCCAACGAAATGGCCATTTTGTTCGAGCATTTGTTGTCTCTATTTCGATCCGTCTACCAAACGAAAATTCAATATCAAATTGGAAGAGTCGCTAACTCATGTGTCACAATAACTGTCATACTAATAGATAAAATGGAAAAACAATGCATGAGGCAATTGATAATTCGGTAATTACACCTTCGTAATTTTTGTTTGTCCCATGGGCCTTTGTTTGGGACCATACCACCATTTCTATCCTCTTGAGTAACACCCAGAAAATCCATATCCGACAAAATTCAAAGTAGTAGATTAAATTCATATAAGACTTTACTGAGAAAAATGTCTAAAACCATGTATTTACAAATATAAGTTAAAAAGCTGAATAATTTAAACGGTAAAATTGGATAATCTAAAACCATAAACAAATCTGGTTTTAGTTTTTGGACTGCACACTATCCTTGTTATGAAAATTTTAGATTTTAATTATTGTAAACGCTAATTATACCTTTGCATAAATGATCTCAAGGAGCTTGTTAGTTTTTTGTGACCCGAAATAATCGAAAAACAGAAAAATAATATGCGAATGAAATCGAAGTACCCCAGTACTTATTGTGCCCGATCTTGCTCCAGATCATGAAGGACCCGGTGACCACCGTCACCATCATCGAGAAGTGGGTGAAGATGTCGGGTGCAGCTTCTAACTCCACCGTCCTTTGTCCTTTCGTGGACCTAACTTTGAACCATATGCTCTGGAGATTAATACATGCCTGGTACGCCTCTAACGTGAGAGAAACGCCGAAGTCCTCTCTCCAAGAAAACTGTAAGGACAAATAATATTATTAGGCCTCTAACAGACTAATGAAGTTAGATGCTAAAAGCTCAGTTTCAATATGCTCATGCACTCGTGAAGGCATAAGTTAAGCTAAAAAATTAAAAAGTTAAACAATCCGATATTTCATAAATTACCACAATATGAGAATCAAATGAGAATCATGAAAATCTAGCGCAAGTGCTAAATGTCAGACCTTGTTGAAAACTACATATGATTATATGAAGAAACATCAAACTACTTAAAAACTACATCTGATTATATGAAGAAACATCAAACTACTTAAAAACTACATCACATTAGTACTTTATCTTCTGGACAATCATAACAATATCGTGACAATATGAGTAGCAATCTAGCAGAAGGACAANCAAAGTTTGCATAAGAAGTCAAGCCCAAATATTATTAATTAACTGAAGCATGAACAATATAAAATTCAAATAATCCCAGGCGGGCCGACGGGCTGGGTTGGACGGACCTAGGTCCGTGCCCGGTCTATGGCCCGACGGGCCGGGCCGGGCCGGACCCAAACCGGGTCTGGCCCGATCAAGTAAAAAAAAGAAAAATTTCAAACCTTTGGTTTTTCTCCATGCCATACCGGACCCGGCCCGGCCCGCAGGGTCAGGGTCGAAAAAGTAGGACCCTGGATCGGCCCGTTTGAAAACCGAGCTGGGCCCAAACCCGTGGTCAACGGGTTTGACCGGGTCGGGTCCGAGGCGGGTCAGTGCCGGATCTGGGCCGGGTCGGCGGGCCGGTTGACCCGTGGCCATGTCTACTTGTAACTTGAAACGAAAAATCCATACAACTTCTCAAATAAAAACTGTAAAATATTGTCTCGTAAAAGATTATAACATTTGAAAAGTCCTAGGAGAGAGTTCGAAGCAACTTAATATTTTTTTCGCAAACTTACTAAAATGCCGCTTTTTTGTAATGTCAGGTGGAAATGCCAGATTCTTGCTTCCTCAACTTCGATTTCTAGTTTGATTCATATATTTCTTGGAATATATCCTGGAATCTACAGATACGGTAGTGAATAATTATCAAATATTTCACATGAGCAGAGAAGATAATCACACTGGAACAAACTAACCTTCAAGGGCTTTTTGCAACTTAAGTGCAAGAAACCATAAAGTTGAAAACAAACAGTTACTTATAGTGAGAATACTATACGTGCTTACTTGTCATCATACTTATTATAAGTCTGCTAGCTACCTTGACGGATCGACTCCAAGTGTTTCTGCAGCTAACAGATAACTAGCCTGAAATGAAAATCATAAGTTAATGAATCCAAATAACATTCAAGAACATAGAACGTGAGCTGAGTTAATTAAAAGAGACTGGTGTATAAGTTGTAGAAGTGTTTGCTTGTTTGTAAAAAAAATAAAACCAGAAGTGAAATGAGAGGTCTGAAAGCAACCTTAGGAGATTCTGATTACCGTAAATCTCACAGAAACTTTATAACGCTATAAAATTACATTGTTTAAGCCCCAAGCTAGCTATCACTTTCCTTTTTCAAAAGATCTTGTGCATCATTTATCATGTACAAGGGATGAGGAGCTTACTGGATCAGGCTTCTTCTAGGGAACCACATCACCAGCAAATATCTGTATCTTTTCTGCTCGTTCAGGCCCTAATAAGAAAGAAACTACAGCCGATACCTGAAAGCTCACCGAAAAAGGCTTTTTCAAACTAGGTAGCACATAATAAAGTGCATGAAGGTATGTTTGCAAAATCAACAACTCGAATTCACAAATTCCAGAAAGTTTAGTCGAGCTATTTCAGATAATAGTAACAAATGAAAACACAAATCTATTTGCATATAACTTCCAAAGAGAACAGATAGATGGCTTGACTACAAATGATATCAAATTCATTCTTTGGTCAAAGTTGTGTAAAGACACAACATAAAACTTAGAACCTGATGATGCATACCACATTCTCATTTGACGTGCTGCACACAACAACTTGGACCCCATTGCCTAAAGCTTGATCTATTAGCCTGTTGATTAGTCAAGTATATGCTATTAGTGCAATTTTTTTCCTTTATTTTCCTTCAGGAAAAAAAGAGGCCGAGTACAAAATGTTTGAGACCAGATAATACATAGAATAGATGGATATAAGATAAGGTCCAAATGTGTTGAACTCTAGGTACAATGGTTTTGTTTAACCAAAGAACAATACAGCAGCTTACTTGGCCACACCGGCTCTAAGAGGCAACAACTTTTTCTTAATAAGTACCACGAAAAGTTCCGTCTTTCGCTTGTGCAGGGATGCTATGAGTTCCTTTCTTTCTTGGTCATCTGTTCGTGCCTTTTCCGGCCAGCCCAACTTGTTAAAGTAGGTCGTCATCCTGAAGTCCCACCAAAAAAAAAAACTAAATTTCTGGAAAATGGTATCGATTTTGCTTATGTACCCGAGAAATTGAATAATCATACAAAACACCAAATCGTGAATGTATGCACCTTTCTTTTCCTCCCCCAGTTTTGAGCAATTCACCATACAAATCAACGTCCCATGCGATCAATCACGAGGAACAAAAAGATTCAAGACATTCAAATTCCATCCCGAGGATTAATCTTAGCCCATTAAAGATAAAAGGTTCCAAATCAAAACAGATTACGGATACACAAATTAAAGCCAATACACTTAGGAGCTAGTTATGATCAATCAGCTCAGCTTTTCACTACAGAGGCACACACTACCATTTCAAGAAAGGCCATTCGTTTAGTCAATAACTAATGTTCATTTTCTTATTATAAGTACGCGTGTCATTTTTTGTGCTAAGATACAACAGCCTCTTTTTTCTGGTATGTCGTGTTCATTGAAGCCTCAACAAACGCACGAAGGGACTGTTCCAATGTTGCATCACAACCCAATTCCGTCACCAACAATAATAAGCTCAATGCAAAAAATAAAAAATGAAAAAAGAAGAAGCAAAAACATAGATGGACAGAACAAACCTCATCTGTGTTGTACATTGACAAATCGACACCACCAGGCCTAACTTTATGCCACACAGACCACCCCGTGATATAAATCAACCGACGTGCGTGCCGTATTGCGTGAAATATATCATGCCAGAACTTCCCATGAATATAATGATCCCATTATCGAGCTTCAGGCTCGGGAGGGAGTTCTCTCCTATGTTTGTAAAGCACCAAGCTGCATCAAGTAAATAAAAAAATGTATAAAGTGATATGTGATAATGTATAAAGAAATCTAATGATATATAGTTACAACAACAACAACAACATACCCAGTATATTCCCAACAGGTTCGGGTCTGGGGGTCAGTTGTACGCAGACCTTACCCTTGTAATTATACAAGGAGGCTGTTTCCGTAGCGACCCAAGGTGCATTGCGCCTTTTGATATATATATATATATATATATATATATTTATTTTTTTTTTCTAGAAACTTCACTAATAGAAGAAGCACTAGAATTTAATTGAGCCATTTTAATCTAGTCCATTATTAGCACTATGGCAGGAGAATTGTCAACAATGACTCTTCCAGCTCCATTTGCAATGGACAAATCTAATGATATATAGTTGGAAGTAAAAAAAAAAATTACACACTCCAAGACCTGTTCAGCAGGTGAGCCAAATAAAAGACATGAAAAAGAGCACGCATTGCTCCAACCTCATGGTCAAGGCTACCAGAATGAGATAAACACTTGGACCAGGAAGAAATACCAAGACTTCAAGAAGTATTTAATAAAAAAAACATGATCATGTATCCAGTTTCGAATATATTCCAACCTTAAGAGCCTTTCCACGGACATAAAACAAACTTACCCAGTATGTAAATACGAACATCCTTGTTTGTAAACCCGAGCAACCTTCGTCAAACTAAAATAGCTATGCACATAGTTTTTTGACTTCGGTCAGTTTACTTTTCATGTTCCTTCAAGTTTCTACATACAACCTGAACATCCAAGGACCTTATTAATCAAATAAATTAAATACAACAAGATAATGTTGTAATGATATCCTGTTAAAAAAGAGTGGATATAAACCTCCAGCCAAACACAAATAAAATTTTAGTAACTCACGCAATCCAATAACTATCAAAGTAAACTTAAAAAGTCAAAGCACCAAATCATCATACCGGAGATTTCATAAGCATCAGTCCCATTATTTCAGCTATCACCACCTCAAGTGTCTCCTTTACCCACACCCTGCTGCAAATTTGTTCCTGCAAAAATTAATACAATTCACCAACCAAAAACAAGAAATGAAAAGGGAACAAAAATCACACACTCACATCTATATATATATGTATATATATAATTACTGGCTCATGAGCATTTAAGAAAACCTATTTAATAAAACTTCCAAGTTTTTCCCGCCTAAATCAGTTACCAAAAATTATTTCACCTTTTATCCAATCTTTTTAATACAACACTTACTCATATTGATGTTATTAATTGAATATGCTGAAATTAAGGTTCTTTTTATTATAAATCGTTTTGAACTTTGAAAAAACTAAACAATGTGGGATGAAAATCAGTTGTATTTATTTATTTATTACAATATAGGTTTTTATTATTATGTTGAATGAAAGTAATATTTTTAAGAATCTAAGTTTTTATGGTTGGTGAGAAAAACTTAATTGGATTTTGAATTATAATTCATTCGACTTACAATTTGTCTATTTTTTTAATAATTTCAGATTCTTGATTATTGAATTTGATTAACTTATTTCCAGAAAATATATTTACTTAATTATTGTAATTAGAAAAGAAATAGTAAGTTTTTAATGTTGGTGAAAACACATAATTGGAATTTGACCAACATTAATATCGAAATTATTTTTTGGGAGTAGTATAATCCGTTTAGCATAAATTAGAACAAAAAATTATAGAATCAGTTTTTGTCAATCAATAGTAACACATTCATTTAATGGACATGCTAATATCAAACATTTTAATAAAAAAACGGTTAGAATACAATAAAGTAAGATATAATGCTATTTTGACCAGTTGTATAAAATGTGAGTTGAAATTGTTATTTTTAATATAGTTCAGTTTTTGTAATTACTGTGAATATCAAACAGAATGGTTACTGATTATTATATGTTATGCCTGATTACTCTTTTTCGATTTTTTTTTATAACATATAGATATGATGACCTGTTCTATTTCAAAATTTATTCCTGTGCATTTGTTTTTTTTTATTGCAACAACTTTTTGTTCAACTTTTTCTAAACATAAAAGATTATATTTCAACAACTTTTTGTTCAAATTATTTATTCTAAAATCAATATTAAATTCTTTTTTATCTGATTACGCGATTGTTTTTTAAATAAATTAATTTTTAAAATGTCATAGTAAATTTCTTAAAATCGCATAAGCAATTGCTATAATAAATTTAATATTTTTCAGCTAATTAATTAGACATGATCCCTCAAAATTACAAAAAATTACATTATTTATTACATTTTATTCAATCAATATAGTGATTCGTATGCAATCAAATCGTTATGTACTATTTATTTTAACCAATGATCAAATTCTAAAACATAATACCAATATCAAACTTATAATTTTAGTATCATATATATATAAATACAATTTATAATATTTATTTACATCCGTGCAAATGCACAGGGTCGAATACTAGTACACAAGAAACCCAAGCAGAGCTAATTCATCACTAATAAACGTATAAAATTACTAATTAAATAAGCATATCATATAACCCCCATGAAAGGAAAAAAAAAATCAAAAATAGAAACACACAGGTGAAATTAAGATATTAAGACATGGAGAATTACGATCGAGGGACAACGGCGTTAACATTGAAAATTACCTTCAGAAGTAGCAACATGGAATACCAATCTAAATCACCAAACGCTACGTTTCAATTCACGATAAAAATCAAGTGACATGACAAAACAAACTAATGACAGCACAAATATTTAACAAAGGGATAGCCCAAATCAAAATGTCAAAGCAAATACCGTGGTTATATAACGTAGGAGAAGTTTGTAATACTCAACTTACTGTAGACAAAACTATAAAAACATGAAGTGAATAAACAAACAGGTTTGCAGGCATGAATTAGGAGAATGCATCAGGCAAAAACAAAAATTCACCTCTTTCGAAACAAACGGAGAGATTTTCTCCAACGCTCTCTTGAAATGAGCATCTTTGATGGCCAATGGTACATTGGAACTTCCTGTATTTCTTCAGCAGCAGCCAGTACCACTTCTTTGATCTGTCATTTATTAGGGATAAACAATGGTAAGCTTCAACAAATATCTTTCATTTTTAATTCCAAAAAAGTAAAGAAAAAAACCAAAACTATCAACCATATGATAAATCATTGCTTCTGATAGAAGTAGTCATGTTAACAGATAGGTATATATTTATATACATGCATGCGTGTGTGCAGTGGTGTGCATATATCAAACCAAATTAAGAAACTTATTTTGCCGTCTAGTTCTCTTTTTTCGTTTTTAGAAGCTAATAATTTCACAATTGGAAAAAAAAAAGTCCATATCATATTGATTTCATGAAAGGATGAAACAAAAAGACAGTAACATAATTTTTTCTTTTAATATATTTTACATATAAAACTCAAGAGATGCATCTTTTGGATCAAACGAGAAATATTAAGGTAAGAGAGACAAGAAATACCAAAACTGAAAGATCTAACGCCACTAAAATTTTCGCAAGCTCCGTCTTTCCCTATGGCAACAAGGTCCACATCAGAATCTAGCAACTTATTCCGGGTAAGAGCTTTCAATATCATCCCTAAGAAAAAAAGAGAAGCACCGACGTGATACTCGATTAGCACACGCTGAAATACGTCTTCTCCGCCTATCTCTCAGTCATTGGCTCGCCGCCCCGCCTGTGTCCCTGGTACTCGACTTTGTGGTCGTTTGGATGGCCCCAAAAGAAAAATGTGCGACTGTGGCGTGTAGCAGCCAACACTACTCAGCAATATGAAATTACCTAAGTAAACAGCCACAAATTAGATCAATCTAAAATTTATGATATCAATGTAACGAAACTAAATGAAGAACAATAATGAATAGTAAATGTGGCTTGATAATTGATATCCAACGGCAGTGAAAACTCAATTCACAAAACACTTGACACAACACCAATAAATTCATTTTCTTCAAAAAGCTTTCCAGCCTGTGTCATAGAGAAATAAGATCAAAACAAACAAGTAAAATTGAGTTGCTGCAATTTTGTTTTACTCTAAAGCAGCCCCAACATCTTGAATCAAAACAATGACAAAAGTAGTTATAAATTTTATGGAAAAAAAAAAAATCGTAGCTTAACATACCTCTTTGTAGAACCAAAGTGCCCACATGTCGTATGCACTGAAACCTACCTCCGCCACGATTTCCACCGGAATCTAGGTTCTGGCGGTCGCATGGCGGCGGCGGCTCCGGGACGGCGTGCTGGAGAGGGGCACCGACCGCTAATTTGGGTCTTGCGCCGGTCCTCGAGCCTCGCGTCCGCCGGCGTCTCCACGCCGTCCGTCGAGGTGGCGGACCTCCTCGTATCACACATCTGCTGGTCGTGTTAGACCTAGGTGTAAAATTAAACCTGTAAAATTACGGATTTATTTACTTAAAAAAAAAAAAAAAAAAANAAAAAAAAAAAAAAAAATGAAGTGGACAAAAAAGAAAGAAAAAAAAATCAAGTCGACCAAAATAGAAAGCCCGTATTTACTAAATACGTTTTCCATTGTAAACCGTATTTAGCAAATACGGTTTTCACTATAAAACGTATTAAGTGAATACGTTTTCAATAAACAAATATTACGAAAGTTAAATAACGTAATTAACATAATTAAACTGCAGAAAAACGTATTTCCTAAATACGTCTTATGTTTCAAAATTACCAAACGTATTTCTTTAATACGTTTTTATGTTAAAAGTAATTTAATTTTATTTTTATAATTATAAAACGTATTTAACTAATACGTTTTATAAATAAAATCAATTTTTTCATTTTGTGAAAATAATTTAATTTGGGGAAAAAAATTTGGAACATAAAACGTATTTACTAAATACGTTTTCCTGTGTAATTTTGCTCCAAATTGATTACATTTGCCCTAATTTTAATGTCAACGGAAAACGTATTTACGAAATACGTTTTCTAATTAAAAAGAATAGAATGGAAAACGTATTTAAGAAATACGTTTTCTGTATTAAAAATATATAAAATCCTGTTCACTATGAAATGCACCTGTTTACAACCAAAAAATACACCTGTTCACAACAAAAAAATATACCTGCTCACAACAAAATCCATCATACCATAATTCTTCGAACAAACAAATGAAACACAATAATTTGCCGAACAAACAATATATACAAAACGATAAAATTCGGTTTATACATACAATCCAACAATTCAAAATAAACACAAAATCAACAAATTCAACACAACTAGCTAGGAAGGAGTGAATGGTTGTGTAGGTTTGCGCGGTCTAGACCCCCTCCTCCGAGTATATACCACGTGTGAAGAAGACGAAGGTGCAGGTGTGAGAAGCGTGTCAGTTTGAAAAGCCTGCTCATCTTCCTCTTCTTCATCTGAGTAATTCAATTGAAAAAAGAAATTATAAATTGAACTATAAAAAAAAAAATTCTAATTTAAAAATCTCACCTTGTTGAGGCTCGGGCTGCTGAGGTTGGAGGTGCTGGGCGGACGGCTGAGTGCGGGGACGGGCCCGAGCTCTTCTACCCCCACCAATGTTGGGGGTCGGTTGATGCCTGGCCGTGTGTGACTGTGTCCTCATGGGGGGAACGTATTCGTCCTGGGAGAAAACTTGACTAGACGGCCCCCC